GCTTGATTCCAGTCTGTTGCTGTTGAAAACAAAATACTGCACTGAAACTCCAAGAGGTAGACTTGCTGGCTCTGAGCCCCTAAACCTATCTTTGTTGTTTGACTTGTCCCCTGCCTCCAGCTACCTGGTGTTCAATATCATCCCTACGCTGGCTGATATCATCATTGGCATCATCTACTTCAGCATGTTCTTCAACGCCTGGTTTGGCCTCATTGTGTTCCTGTGCATGAGTCTTTACCTCAGTGAGTGCCGCTTGGTAAAACCAGCTCCCTGAACTCTTTAGGGACTCCCTTGGGCATGAGCCCTGCCCTCGCTTGAGTGACCCTGTTTGGGAGGCTATAGATTAGTGGATTTGAATAAGCTCTTGGTGTTCCCCAATGTGGTGGATGGGCATGCTCCTCTGCCAAGGGAACTTGAGCTCAGCCTGGGTGGAGGGCCAAGAAGGGTATCCTGGTCACATTAAGTCCCCACTACAGATGTGGGTCAAGGATGCAGCTTACTTTCCTTTGTTCGCCAAAAGCGTTTTCGCACGTGAGGCTTCGGATAGGCTGTAAAGATATCTTGGGCACAGCCCCTTCCCTCAGAGAGCTTAGAGCATTCTCCCTTCAGGATCTGGGTCCCTGGGCTGTAGTGTAGGGTTAGTGTGTTTGTGGCAGGTGGCAGATATATACATGTCGTCTCTGCTGTTGGGAGCGATGTTTTGATCTTTTCTCCCTTCCCATTCTGCCACTCTAGCCCTGACCATTGTGGTCACTGAGTGGAGAACAAAGTTCCGACGTGATATGAACGCACAGGAGAATGCTACCCGGGCACGAGCCGTGGACTCTTTGCTAAACTTTGAGACGGTAAACGAGGCCTCAGTGGCACTGGTGTGAGGCATGGAGATGTGGAGGAGTGTGCCTGGGACCACCAGGGCTGCCGAGGAGCTGGGGCTACGGGGTGCGAGGTGTGCTGTTTAAAATCAGGAAGGCAGGAGTGGGGATCTGGAGGCAATGATCTGGGTGCTGAATACTGTGACCTTGTTCAACAATGGTGCTTTAAATTCCTCAGGTGAAGTATTACAACGCGGAGGGTTATGAAGTGGAACGCTATCAGGAGGCCATCATCAAATACCAGGTGAGGATGCTGGTTGGAGGCCTACTGAGAGCCGTGGCCTGGCCTCGTGGAATTGCCAGGGCTGAGAGGGGTAGAATTTAGGCTGTGAGGCTGAAGGTGCCTGGCCCAGGTTTGGACTTGGTGATGGTCAGTGTGTATGTGACATTCCTCCCTCCCTTATCACCACAGGGTTTGGAGTGGAAGTCAAATGCTTCACTGGTTTTACTAAATCAGACCCAGAACCTGGTGATTGGACTTGGGCTCCTTGCTGGCTCTCTGCTTTGTGCATACTTTGTCAGTGAACAGAAGCTACAGGTGAGGGAACTGTGCTGGGACAAGGAAGAGGAGCCTGGGGCCTATGTCTGGGCTACCAGGCTCCTGGGTGAGAAGCAGACAGATGACAGGAAGTGGGCAGGGTGACAGCCTGCAGGCCTCCTGTGACTCAAGTCGCCTTACCTGGATTGCCACAGGTTGGGGACTTTGTGCTTTTTGGTACCTACATCATCCAGCTGTACATGCCCCTCAACTGGTTTGGCACCTATTACAGGTAACCTGATCCCTGGCCTTCACCTCTCCAGGTGCGTGGTTATTTCCCCAGCTCCTCAGAGGACCTCCAACCAGCATTCTTTTTGCAGGATGATCCAGACCAACTTCATTGACATGGAGAACATGTTTGACTTGCTGAAAGAGGAGGCAGAAGTAAGTGAAGACAGAGGAGTGTGGTTTTGGGAAGCAGAAACCTGCATAGTATTTCTTGTGTCTGGAGAATACCAGGCCCATAACGGCGGCACTCATTGGTGGCATTCTCCCAGGTGAAGGACCTTCCTGGAGCAGGGCCCCTTCACTTTCAGAAGGGCCAGATTGAATTTGAGAATGTGCACTTCAGCTACACTGATGGGTGAGCCCCTCCTCTTTTGCCATCCCACAGCCCCCTTTCCCACTGTCCATTTATATACAGCCTTCCTGTCCCTCATCCGTGCTTCTTAGCCACCACTACCTGGGAAGAGAGCCAAAGCAGGGAAGAGGCAGGGCCCAGTAGTAGCTCTGGTGATAGAAGGGGGCACTGGGAGTATAGCAGGTCTGCTGACCATGCTCACTGTTCCTTGCAGGCGAGAGACCCTACAGGATGTGTCCTTCACTGTAATGCCTGGACAAACCCTGGCCTTGGTAAGAGGAGACCGAGCCACTTGGCCCAGCCTCCTGGAGCTTCTCTCATTGCAGTGAAGTATTACATGGTAATACTTCATAGTAGCTTGTGACCCAGGCTACGGAGTCAGAGCCCTGTCGTGATGGGTCACAGGCAGCCTCCATGGACATTGGTGACCTCTTGGAGAGAAAGCCATAAAAGCCAGCAGTCCTGAGAATGTTTTCCCTCTGTTTCCAATGCAACAGGTGGGCCCATCTGGAGCAGGAAAGAGTACAGTTTTACGCCTGCTGTTTCGCTTCTACGACGTCAGCTCTGGCTGCATCCGAATAGATGGCCAGGACATTTCACAGGTAAGGTTGTTTGGGAGAAGACTGTAATTTAGGAGCCTGTGTATAAAAGAATGATAAGTGCTGGGCATCCAGGGAGAGAAGGAGATGTCACCTCTGCAAAAAGCTGAGGCAAGAAACTTTCTAGCATCATCTGACACAAGTAAAAGAATCATGGGAATGATTTGTATGGTGCTGTATGGGGTACAAAGATCTGCAGCAATCTAGGGAAGCGGGAAGAGAAAGTGTATTTTCTCTTTATTGATGGGGAAACAGACTCAGAGAGGTTGAGTGATTTGCCCACACAGCTAGCTAGGATTTGGGGTGGTGGTGGCAGGATTGTTACCCAGGACATCATCTCATGTGCTTCCGGGTAGTACATCCTACCTCCCAAGTCTGGGAGCATCTCGCAGGCCAGGGCATATGGTCTTTTGGCCCTAGGTGACCCAGATCTCCCTCCGGTCTCACATTGGAGTCGTGCCCCAGGACACTGTCCTCTTCAATGACACTATTGCCAACAATATCCGCTACGGCTGCATCACAGCTGGCAATGATGAAGTGGAGGCTGCTGCCAAGGCTGCAGGCATCCATGATGCCATTATGTCTTTCCCTGAAGGTGAGCTCCCCCTATCCAATTTAATCCTAATATTCCCTCTGACCTCTGTTCCATCCCTTCCTTGCCCCATCTGGTCACAGAAACCAAGTTTATCCCGTGTGACTTGAGGGAGGTGGGCACTATTCTCAGGATACAAGACGCAGGTGGGCGAGCGGGGACTGAAGCTGAGCGGTGGGGAGAAGCAGCGCGTCGCCATTGCCCGCACCATTCTCAAGGCCCCTGACATCATTCTGCTGGATGAGGTGAGGGCCCTGTATCTCCTTCACCTCTCCTTCCTGCCCTGCCTGTGCCCACACCATT